AGCTGTTTTGCACTGAATCAAGTTTCCTTCTTTACCACATCCCAAACTGGGGATTCCTGTTGGCAATGAATGGCACCAACAACCATCAGTTGACAGACTTTAGCTAATAATAATGCAACAATACTGGTTTATCAACTCTAACAAATGTACCCTTTAATATCAGATGCTCGTAATGAAAACACGTGTAGAGAAAGAGAGTATTATGAAACCTCTATACTCGCTACTCATTTTTCCTTTAAACCTAAAATGGCTCTAAAAATGTAAAAAAAAAGAACCTGTAGGAACTGCACAGCAAAAAGTACATAACTTAGAATATATTAAATTTTTTTTTTTTAATCCTCACCCGAGGACATTTTTCCATTTTTTATTCAGGTAGAGCGGGAGGGAGAGAAAGGGAGAGAGAGAAACATTGATGTGAAAGGGACACATCGAGTGGCTGCCACCCGCACGACCCAACCAGGGCCGGGAACAAACTGCAGCCAAGGTACATGCCCTTAGCGGGAACCGAACCCTGGTCTCTGTGGACCACAGGCTGACGCTCTAACCGCTGAGCCAAACTGGCCAGGGCAGAATATATTAAATTTTAAAACAGATGTTGTACATCCCACCTTGCTCCTATTCAGAACTAGAGGAATGCTTTCATCCAGAATGAGGGACTCCACTATCCTGGGACTCTTGCCAAGACCACCCAGATCCCCAGATCCCTCCTTGGCCTGCAGAGGGGCCTCGCCTGACCCTCCCTGCTCCACTCCTCACCCCTGCCTGTCCTTGTCCACAGACATCCCCACCCCCCCCACACACACACCAGAAAGATGATTTCTATTCAAGGAACTTCATTAACTGCTCTGCCCCGTCTTGATCACCACTGCATATCCAGCACCCATTCTTGTGCCTGGCACATGTGGGTACTCAGGTCCTTCTAGAACTTATGAATGAACATGCCATACAGTAGGCTTTCTACCTCAGATCTTTCTATGGCTACAGATAGAAATCTTTCTTTTGGTTAACTGTCACCCAAGGATATTTTTTTATTGATTTTTAGATAGAGTGGAAGGGAGGGAGGGAAGGGGGGGAGGAGAGAAACATCACTGAGAGAGAGACACATAGACTGGTTACCTCCCACACGACCCGGGGCTGGGGATCAAACCTGCAACCCAGGTATATGTCCTTGACCAGGAACCGATGCTCTAACTGATGAGCCAAATGGACCAGGGACAGATAGAAATATTTTCAAAGCTGACACAGCACCCCTCTGAAAGATGACAATGTAACTGGTAGGGCACCTAAGCCTAGAGCAACCCGGTTAGCAGGTGAGACCCCTGAGAAAAGCTGGAGGCACCCATAACGAATTCCTCACAGCTGGCTCACTGCACACTCCATCCCAGAGATGGCACTGCATCCGCCACCATTGGCTGAACTCCCTGATGACATGAGCAAATGCCCTGTTGGCACTGCCTGAAAAGATTTCTGCTTCCTTAGCCACCACTTTTTCACTATGTACTGCAAAAGGGCCACACAAGCTACCATGACACTAGCCTCTCCAAAAAAAAAAAAAGCATCTATCTTTTTTTTAAAAATATATTTTTATTGATTTAGAGAGGAAGAAGAGACAGAAACATCAATGAGAGAGAAGCATCGATCAGCTGACTTCTGCACGCCCCCCTACTAGGGACTGAGCCCACAACCAGGCTGACCAGGAATTGAACCGATGACCTCTTGGTGCATGGGTCAATGCTCAACCAGTGAGCCACACCAACCGGGCTAATTGTCTTCACTTCTACTTGTAAATTCAGGTGAAGGGTATGCAGGTGGCTGCTGTGCTATTCTATCAACTTCTCTGATATTTAAACTTTTTCATGATAAAATTTTCTGAAAGATTTAAAAACGCAGCTGGCAGCATCTAACGTCAATATGCTAGGACTGCCCAGGACTGTCAGAGGGCCCCCTTGGGCCTCAGACTGCGCAAGGCCTGGGGCTTGACCCGACATACCAGGCTGGAGTGGAGACGCCTCCTGAGCCACAGGCTGGTGAGGATCCTGACAGGCAGCCGGAGGACCGCTGTGCTGACGAATCACACATGAAGGACAAATGACATCCAGATTTTGCTGTGTCTGAAGTGGGGGTGGCATCAGAGCTCATGGCCAAGGGGTAAGCAGGAGCTTGTCACCCAGAGGAGGGCGGCAGCAGTCAGAAGGAAAGCCCTGTCATTCAGCAGCACTCCTGAGCCCTCAACATTGGAGACTGTCACGAGGCCTAGAGGAAGAAGCAGAGGGTCCCAGGCCATCTGCTGGATACTCCTTCAATCCAGGGCCTCTCCGGGCTCTGCCAGAGCCAGCTGGTCTTGGACCCCCGTGGTCTCCAAGCTCCACTGAGGGACAGGTTCCCCTCACATTACAACCCTCCAAAGACAAAACCCTCTAGGGAGGGTTTTGCCACCAGGCAGCCATGTGTCCACTCACGACAGGGCCCAACCAGGACTTAAACCATGTGTTTCGATTTTGTTGCCAGAAATATAGATAAAAGTATCTTTATAAATACATCTCCATAGAGAAAATTTAATCATAGCCGTTTAAAACTAATAAAAAGAATCTCTCTCCAATATGAAAATTTTCTTTTCTGACCAGATAAAAGTACTATACATTGTTAAATGTTTAAATTAAAAAATATGTATGTATGAGGTACAAGTGAACCAAGAGAACTCTGGTTATGAGGTGGGGGTTACGTGTCCAAATGTTCTGCCAGGGCCACGCACTCACAGATGTACCTGGTAGGCCTCGCTTCTGAAAACAACTCTGCCTGAAGCTGGAGTAGCTCTTCACTCTTTGAACCCCTTTGCTAGCATGAGCACTGTAATGATGTGTATACTCACAAGAATGGCTTGCCCCGATCTAATTATTTTCTAGAAGTGGGACTGCTCGTCCAGAGGATTTACATACTTATGAGCAGGACATATTACAAACTCACAGTCCGTTCTAGCTGTTTGCAAATACAATCAGCAACAATGGGGAGATCTCTCTACACAGTCGTGAAACATGATACCATTTTAATTGCCTTTCTTCTTACTTTGAGCCAAGTGTACTGAGAGTGGTGCAGGGAGGGTTCTGGGAAGGCTGGTGGTATGACATTTATTCTGTTTCTTGACCTGGGTGGGACCACTTTGTGAAAATTCAGGAGCTGTACACTTAGGGTCTGTAGGTTCATCATACTTCAATTTAACATTCAAAGAAACTGCATTGTGATTCTGATTCCAACTGCACGTATTTGTAGATTTAGGGAGAGCAGACATCTTTATAGAGCCATGTCTCTCCATGCCATCAACCTGGGTAATCACAGTTGGCATAACCTTGATCTGGCTGAGGCTGTGCTTGTCAGGTGTCTCCACTCTATGCTCCTCCCCCACTTCCGATACTGTCCTCTTTAGAAAGAACTCATGGCAAACAGCCCACAGTTAAGGGAAGGGAGCTATGCTCCCCTATTTGAGGGAGTAGTATCTACATAAGTTATGTGGAATTCTGCATAGGAGATTTGCATCTTGTCCCCTATTTATTTATTTATTCAATCATTGATTCTATCAGTATGGACTCATGGAAATCTGTATTTTATGTAAGCTGTAACCCAATACTATATTACCAAGTGAGGAGTCAAAGCACATACATGATGCAGACACTCCTGAAGGGTTCAGAACCACCCTTCCCATCATCTCACCACAGGCTTCACTGAGGCAACTCCTTGCTGGGACTGAGAAGTCTCAGCTCAGCTCCTGGGTTTAGTGGTACCTTTAGACTTTCAGCCTAAAGCTTTGGTGCTCTCCAATCTCCTGCAGGCCCTAAAACCGACCCTCTGGCCATTTTCAAGCTTATCAAAACATGCCTTCCTCACACCCCCCGATCAGGAGGTGTCTCACTCTCCTGTAGGACACTCTTCTCTGTGCTCTCGCAAAAAAAAAAAAAAAAACAACTAAGACAAAGCCAAGCAACTCACTACTTTTCCATTAAACGAGTCCCAAAAGACCAAGTAAAGAGCCAGGAACACCCGCTCACCCAACAAATCTGGGGCAACTGAAATAAAAGATTAAGCGAGAGTTGACCCCAAAATCACATCATAGGGGAAGTGTGCTGCCCCAGGGGACACTGCTCTCACCTGCTGGTGAGACAGTAACATCAGAAACCATCACAGCCAATGATCTTTCCCCTACGTAACAAGGTTTCTCAGGTGCATACAACACCACTCAAATAGCCCAGATCTAGGAGCAAACAGCTTCCATCTAATAAATGCAGGGCAGGTGTAAGGGTGGGAAGGAAGATGGGATGTTAAAGCTACAACAGGCAAATGGGGTGTGGGGGTGACAAATGACCCACAAGGCCATGGCTGGTGGCCTCTACCTACATGCCTGACCATACTCTACACACCCCCAGGAGGCTCCCTTTGTCAATGCCACCAGCAGTTAGACTATCCACACTCCTGGCAGTTGGAGTGAGTCACTGTTCTTTCACACGGTGGTGATATGTACATCCGAGTTACTATCAAGACTGGCTGCAAAAGGGTGGCAGTTTATAGAAATAAATCCTTGAGAATACAACGCATGCATCTGTAAGAGCAGATGCTGGGCTGGAGCCAGAGCAGAAGCACACACAGCTAGCCCCACCCAGAAGGAGCTCACACCTGAGAAACAGGGGCTCACAGGCCATCTAATCTCAGGCTGGGGGAGATAAGAACCAGAGATACAGGAAGGCAATGTCCTGCGGATGTGACAGAGGCCAGTGAAGACTATTCCAGGAGATAGCTTGACCTACGAGACAGTTGAACTTTGACCAACAGTGGTCTTGGGTGGTGGGGGAGTTCACCTAAGACAAGGAACAGAGCAGTCTGGGTGAACAGTGCAGAAGCTCTGGTGGGGTGAATAGGAAGGAAGGGTGAATATTTCCAGTTATGTATTTCAGAGAATAATGCAAATGCCAAACAAGAGTAGGTGGTGTCTCACAATACAATTTTGTACTTACCCAACCTGAATGAGCTCATTCAACTTTGTGGCATTCTTATCATCCATACCTTTAAAAAGAAAAAGAAACAGACATGACCTTGAAGCAGTTAGGAGCAAAACTGGTCAAGATTCCCATATAACTGTCTTCCTTGTAGAATCCAAATGCTTTACAGAATATCTAAGGTCTTCCAAATAAAACCCCTACGTTAGCTGCAGCCCCTCCCTCAAAGTCAAAACAAGGTGCGTCCTGTGCTGAGGGTGCTGTCCACTACCTGCATATCCTCTCCACCCACCCAGACTTTCTCAGGAACACTTTCTGCCTCAGCAAGAGGATCGCTCTTCCAAAAACATCTCTCAGACCTCAGGCTATGCTGAACCTCTACTTGTCCCAACTGCCTAGTTCAGAGACTCTTTCCTCAGGATAATCACTGTGCCCTATGCACACTTCTCCTGCTGGGATCTTGTGTTACTTGCGAACCTGCCTTAGTCAGCTTTGACCCCTAGGTTCCCAGAGTCTACTGGATGACCAGCCCAGACACTGCACATTTCCTCTGCCCTCCTGGTACTTAGCCCCGTCCTCAGGACATGTGAGAAAGCAAGTCCAGTAACCGGGTAATGGGAAAATCTAGGTGATGGATGTTTGGGTGCTCACTGTAAAAGTCTTTGGACTCTTCCATGTTATTTTTTTTTGAGGAAAAAACAACAAGCCACAAACACATAGCCAGAATAAAAACCAAAGACAAAACCTTAAAAGCAGCTAGAGGTGCCCAGCCACTGTGACTCAGTGGTTGACCATCGACCCATGCACCAAGAGGTCACCAGTTCAATTCCTGGTCAGAGCACATGCCCAGGTTGTAGGCCAGACCCCTAGTGGGGGGCATACAGGAGGCGGCCGATCAATGTTCCCTCTCATCAATGTTTCTATCTCTCTCTCCCTCTCCCTTCCTCTCTAAAATCAATAAAAATAAATAAATAAAATAAACAAACAGAAAGCAGCTAGAGGGAAAAAAACATATCCCCCCTAAAGGAACAAGGACAGATGTGACCTCTCATCAGAAACAGTACAGGTCACAGACAGTGGAACATCTTTAAAGTGACAACAGAAAAACAGAAAAAAACAAAACAAAAAACCTGTCAATCAGAATTCTATACCCAGCAAAAGTATATTAAGAATAAAGGCTAAATAAAGACTTTTCAGATAAATAACTACAAGAATTCATGGCCAACACAACTACACAAGAAAGACTACAGGAAGTTTGCAGGTTGAAGGGAAGTAGTACTAAATGGAAATGGATCTTCAGGAAAGAAGGCACGGCCCTGGAGAGGGGGAACTTAAAGACTTGATCATTAAATAAGACGTCACATGCAGACCTACCTTCAGATGGGCATAAATCAAATAAGCACACATGAGTATAGGGCAGTTGTGATGCTGCATGAAGGGAGGGTCTGGAGTGCTGAGAGTGTGTGACATGGTGGTTTAGTCTGTTGTGGAGGTTTGTGAACATTCAAACTGAGATCAAAGGGTAGGCAGGAGTTCATAGGCTAAGAGGAGGAAAAGGCCCATCATCCTGCATCTGGCAGGTGGAAAAAACAGACAAAAGGCCAAGTAAGTGACACTACCCCAACTTCAGGGTTTGAGTCACCAAATGGGGCACCATCCAAGAAACTGCACTTCATCAAAGGAAAGCAGTCTGAACACACAAGTGAGTACTACAGGAATCTGTGATGTTCCCCATTCACCCCATCCCAATACTGGTGCTGTGACAGATGGAATAAGCATAGGGTGTAAAAATCAGGCCTAGGGGCAGCACAGGACATTGTTACTTAATAGTTAAGGAGGCTTGAAATCATTCTTTTTTCATTAAAATGGAATGTCCTCAGTCCTTCTTTCAGACACGAACAACACCATCTCATATAGCTATGATGATGACTGGCACAAGGTAATGTATGTCAAAGTCCCTGGAATATAGCAGGGAATTCAAAGTCTATCATTTCAGGATTTACATATACCTGAATATCTCAGTTAGAAAAAGGCATTAATAAAAAGCATGCTCTGACTTCCTGAGCCCTAAGACACTTTTTGAACAGTCCAGAAAGAGTTATACTGAGCAGATGTGCCATGTATAGGGCACTCTGCAGAAGGCTGCATGTGGAAGCATGTGCTTCTCCAAAGATTCACGAAATGACATAACAGTGTCCCAGCACATGAATCAGTGGGTAGAGGCTCAGAGGAAGATGCCCTACCAGGGTGTGTGTGTGTGTGTGTGTGTGTGTATGTGTGTAAACATGTGCAAGTGTGATGTGCAGCTGCGCTGAGAAGGATGACCAGGCATTACCACCAGGACAGGAGCAGCCAAGCTAGAGGGGCACCCAGCAGGGAGACAAGCTTAAGTCCAAATGCAGAGCCCCTTGGGTCAGGGAGCCAGCTGATACTCCATGAGCGACAGGAAGCAATCCAAGGTCATGGAGCCAACAAGAAGATAAGGCCAAAGATTCAATGTAAAATCAGAGACTGGATGAGAGACTCTGGCTGAACGGCCTGGATATGACAGGGATGGAAGAGGGGCCATGGCATCATTGCCAAAAAGGTGGTACCCAACACACTGCCATGACCAGAAACATTTTAGGTCTAGGACAGAGAGAAGGACACAGAAGAGAAAGTAAAGACTCAAAGGACATGGGGTCCTAGAGTCCCTCTCAATAGACCATTTAAAGCAGGGGCTAGGAGGGGCTTACAAAAAAGTCCTCAGACTATGGATGGAGAGGACAGGGTGGGGAATCAGGATGCTTGTCCCATTCAGGGCCTCTTAGAGCCCCTTACCCATTCTTGCCTGTTTAAGGATAGGGGAGGTCATCCAACACAGGCAAGATGTGCAGAGCAATCTGTGAATGCCCATCATCCCTGCCCTTCTGCTGCTTATACACACTCCCAGCCACCTGCCCACTCAGCTGTAACATGTTAGGTGACTGGTAAGATAATGGCTTATGGTCATCTCATATGATCTCATTTAACTTTCAAATGGGCTCTGTGGATGTGTGACAGGCAGACAAGGGGCATCTGCAGAGGCAAGGGTGTGCCCTCTTGTCTGTGGTCATATTGGGAAGCAAGATAGGGATGCAAGGCGCTGGGCACAAATACCCTGGGAAGGCCAGAGCACTCTCTACATCTAAAGGAAATCCAGTCACAGGAGAGGATCCGAACAATGCAAAGCAAAAGGTTCTAACCCTTCAATTTACCAGTGTCATCAAAGACCAAAAAGTGGGAGCTGTTCTAGGTCAAAAGACTTAAGGGACACCATAGCTACGAGCAGGGCAATGTGCTCAAAAGGTGACCAGCTGGCATGCTGGGATGTGCTGGGAAATCTGAACATGGGCAGGATATTAGGTCAAGACTGTAGTGCCTGTCTGATAAATGTGAAATGTGCTGGGGGTAATAATAGGGTTGTGGGCGTGTAGGAGAATGTCCTTGTTCTCAGGTGACAGAGGGTGAGGGATTTAGGAGTAGGCTAGGATGTCTGCAACTTACAGTCAAATGGCTGAGCAGGAAAAAAAGCACGTATGTAAGGGGGGAGGAGGAGAGGAAATAGTGCACACATGACACAGGTTACAGACTGGGAAATTTAAGTATGTTGCATTATTACACTCTTCTTTGTTGTTTCTGTATATTAAAAAGTTTAAGACAAAAGTTGGAGGGAAAGCGGAAGTGCCACTGGGATCAAAGCCCCATAGTGCCAGGAGAGCAGGATCTGCCAGGAGGAGCCGTGAGTGCCTTGTGGCCGTTTGTACTCACAGCCCCCGATCTTCTTGCGTAGCTCGCCGTAGCAGATCAGACCATACAGCTCCTGGGAGGACTTCTTCAGCCCTCGAGAGAACACTGAAAGACAGAAAATGATAAGGCTTTAGAAGGGGAAAACAACTGTTCTGGGATTGTGCACAAGAGCAGTGCTGGGGGAACACTCAACACTGCTGATTTCTCGGTTTTGCTTACTGCACCTTGGAACCGCAGAAGGTCAACATCAGGGGAGACTGGGCAATGAGTATACAGGAACATTGTGCTGTTTTTGTAATTTTCAAAATAAAAAGTTAAAACCAGAAAAAAAGGAGAGGGGGGTGTAGAAAATTAGCTCTAATAGAAAGATCAATGTCCCCTGGAAGAAGAAAATGGACATTCAGCACAGTTGGCTCCCAAGGAGCTGGAGGAGCTGGGATGTGACCAACACCGTATTTGCATCCACTTCTCTCCACACATGTAGAATCTGCCTGAGCTGTCTAAGGTGGGCAGCCCTGGAACCATGGAAGCTGACCTGCTGTGTCTCCTCTGACCACTGATCTACACGACCTGGGCCTGAGGCCAGACCACAGAGGAACCATGGCTCAAATGCTCGAGACTGCTAATACCCACTCTCCCTTGTTCCCTAGTAACAGGCCTAGATATATTCAGGAAGCCACAGATATAGGTAAGGCAGCACATGTCCCAGCCTGTCCTGCAGCCAGACATGGCCACACCATTAAGTCCTGGCCTTTGGAGTGAGCAGAAGTGTTGAAGACTTCTGAAAGTCTCCTTAGAAGATCTGAACAGAATTATGCTAATTTTTCCTTCAGAACTGCTACCTGGGGCCATCTTGGTCACAACAAAGCACTAAGGATGGCATAGCAGAAAAATGGGAGGACCTGGGCCTTGATGCTTGCTCTGGACCACCTAATGCAGGTATCTCTGAGATGAGAAAAGAAATTTTTACATGCTTAAGACACTGTTATTTTCAGTTTTTGTATTCCCAATCTTCTCAAACACCAGTGACCGCCTTTCTCATTGGAAGAGAGCTTTTTCAGAAGAGCCAAAGTGGGTGAAGGAACTGCTCTCACAGACTGACTTTCAGCATATCATCAAGGAATATGATATGGAACAAAAAAAGAAACGTGTAAAAGCCAACATGGAAAAAGCCAAACAGCCAAAACATTTCTGCGTGCCACCCAGAAAAGTAAGGAGGGTGTCTGGGAAGACAACAGATAGCAGCCAACAGCCCTGGACTCAGTAGGATCCGGACTAGTGTTGGTATTTCAAATAAGCTAGTGATGTGAGAAACAATCACAGCTATGGCTGAACACAGCAGCACACACACTGACATTGTGCTGACAACCTGAGGAAGAACAAAATGTTGCTGACTTATAGTATGCCAAAGCCAGCAGAGAATCTTGTTAATGGTCACATGGACACTAAAAACAAAGCAATAAAACAGTATTAACAAAGGATCTGCTAAGTCAGACCTAGGGACTGTCTCACAAATGTGAACACTGACAGCCCACTTCCATGGTCTCTAGAAAGTGGAGATCTCACATAAACAGATATGCTGTTAAAAGGTCTTCAACACAATGTTGTTTGTCATATTTTCCCCATAGAGACAACAGGCTGGATAGGAGGCCCCTGCAACTATAGGATCTGGAGTTGGGTCAGTGAGCCCTCCTCCAAGGCAGTCCCCTGGTCACATATAGTAAAAGCTAAGACATGTGTCTTTGGCAAGGACTGCAAAGAAGACACCCCGTGAGATGGCCAGTGGAAGGCTTTGAAGCCAGAAAAATACCTTAAAATGACTAGTGATGAACAAGAGCATTACTGGCCAGAGAGAACCTTGATGGAGCCATAAACTAGCTCAGCAGAAAAAAGGCACTTCACATGGGGTCTTGCCATGAAGATGGAACTTGCCATGAGCGGAATGCACATGACTGTCAGGTGCTCCTTCCTGCCTTTACCAAGGACAAAACCAGATGGGAAATACAGCAAGCAGCAGATACCCAAGCCAGCAGGCTGGACATTCACCTTCCCAGAAGACAGTAAGATAGAGCTCATGATGAGCCACTCACGATAACACAGATTTTCAGAAAGTAACTAAAGAATATATGTAACAAAAAAAAGAATGTAGAAGATAACATAGCCCTGGCCAGTTTGGCTCAGCGGTGAGAGCATCAGCCTGAGGACCAGAGAGTCACAGGTTCGATTCCAGTCAAGGGCATGTACCTCGGTTGCGGTTTGGTCCCCAGCCTTGGTCAGAGTTGTGCGGGAGGCAAGCAATCGATGTGTCTCGCTTACATCGATGTTTCCCCCTCCCCCTCCACTCTATCTGAAGATAAAAGGAAAAATATCCTCAGATGAGGATTAAAAAAAAAAGATCACACAGTAAGAGCCAAAAAGCTAAAACTCATCCCCACATGCCACACATACTTATCTCAATTGTGTGAAGTTGGTTGAAGAACTTCTGAAGGAACAAAGCTGCACGTGAAAAAGATGTCCACATCTGTGTTATTTAAAAACACTAGAAGAGGCCTGGGGAGTAGCTCAGTTGGTTAAAGCATATTCCTGACATGCCAAGGTTGTGGGTTCAATCTCCAGTCAGGGCACATACAAGAATCAACCAATGAATGCATAAATGAATGGAACAACAAATCAATTTCTCACTCTCTAAAATTAACACATTTAAAAAAAGATAAAAGAGGGATTCACTCAAAAAAAAAACAAAAAACAATATAAAAACACTAGAAGTGGATTACAAGTCCAAGGAAAAATAAAATTTATTCATAACTCAAAGAAATAATATTTAATGAAACAGATGGGTAAATTCTACAGCAACAAGAGGTGGTCTGAAAATACTGCATTTACAGAAGATAATGACAAGGAGATGCTGGCTGACTTGGAGCTCAGCTTCTCAGCTTATTGTCTGGGTGGCTTGGGCCAGGACCTCCAATGCTAAGCCAGGTTTTCTCATCTGCAGTGAAGGTGATAGCACTTCCAGGGAGGAGGATGTAATGTGCTCAATGATGGGAACAGAGCAGGCCCCAGTGAGGTGGCAGTGAAGACAGAAAAAAATTCATGGAGAATTTTTGGGAGCACTGACATGGGAGCTCAGTCTTGGAAGGTAAATAGGGTCAGGGAGGCCAACGGGTAGGGGCGGCAGGAGTCAAGCACAACAGGAAGTGCAGTTAGCAGGAGGGTGGCCATCCCAACCTGGGAGACAAGGCAGGTGAGGGTGAGGGTGAGGGTGTGGGAGGGGGCTCAGGCCAGGGAAAAGGCAGACATGTGTCTTGTGTGGATAAGACAATGTGGAGGGTAGACTGGGAAGGGCAAGACCAGACGAAGGAAGAACAGCAATGATCTAGAATAGGACCAAGAGAGACTGGGTGGTGAGGACAGGTCTGAAAAGCTCTGAGGTAGACCCAGCAAGACCACAACCGGTGAGGGAGAGATGTCCATAAAGATTCAAAGGGAAATATATTCAGGAGCAATGTCAGTTAACTACTGGACTGCTTGGAGCTTGGGTCCCCAGTCACATTTCTCTAGGGCAAGGTCAGCAAACAATGGCTCACAGGCCATAGCCTGCCCAGGGCCTTTTTCTGTAAAGTTTTGCTGAAACACAGTAACATGTGTTCATTTACATTGTATCTATAATGAGCTAAGACAGGAGAGTGAAGTCATTGTAATAAAGACTATAAATCCCCAAAGCCAAGAATATTTATCATCTGACCCTTCACAAATAAGAGAGAGCTTGATTAACGTTCTCTGGGCCTTTCTAAAGCTGGAGGAGGAAGCCCTGATCCTGGCATCCTGATGGGTCAGTCCTGGTGATGCTGATTCGAGTTGGCCGACACACACTGACCAGGCCAGAACACTGGGAAGTGAGGCAGAGAAAAACAAGAGGGAAAGAGTGCTGCCACGAAGGACTCGAAGCACAGGTTCAAAGGGGGAGTGACCTGACCACGGCTATCACGGTTATTCTGGATCAGAAGTGATATTGTTTGGAGAGAAGCGTCAGAAGTGCAGTCAGTAGAAGCAAATGTCTGGAATGACTGACCTATGACCATGATTGTAGAAATGAAGAGTAAGATTAAAGAAGGTGAAACTGAAGACTGAGAGGGAGGAATGACATAGAGACCCAATTCTCCTGACATGTGGAGACAGGAGCAATGTCTCCCCTAAGGACAGAAGTGTGAATCAAAGAGTGCTCTGAGCTGGAAGTTAGAACCGCACCTGGCAATGACCCAGGCATGAATTAAAGACGGAACTACGCCAATCTCGATTCAAATACAGGGATGGCAAGAGCCTTGGGAAAGCTAGCCCTCCATCCCTGGGTAGTATGTGATAGGCCTTGCCCAACCCTAACCCCAGTGAGCTCCCACTAGGGAGAGAACTGACCAATTCTGGTTTCTCCTCATCAACTGTGGTGCCCTCCCTCCCAGTGGGGGACACAGGCCCACAGAGAGCCAAGGTCTCAGACACCACAGGCACTCAGAGCTATCAGAAACCGGCACAACTTCCCTGTGATTCAGCCTGACCAATGGTTACAAGACATGTATCACTACTTCTGCGAGGCAAGAATATCCTAGGCCACATGGATGGGCAAGAATGACACCAGGGAATATGTCCTGTGATTTTTTAAAAACTCTGCTCCTGACCAGAGCCCAACCCTGCCTCCCGGGCTCCCCAGAAACTGAGCCTTGCATGCTTACCATTGTCGAAGTCGATGTACTTGGTGATCTTGTGCCACGTGCGGTAATAGAAGTGCCTCACTTGCTCCTTGTTCTTCACCATGCTGGCAGGCTTGCCCTTCTTCTTATACTTGAGAGCTATGTTGTTCTGGATTGCTTCAAAGTCTTTCCCATGCTGGAAAATAAGTCCATGGTAAAAGCACAGACGTTAAAACAAGACAGCCTTCTGAACAATGCAGACACTCCCAGAGAAAGGGGACTGCTGTGGGATCAAGCAAGTGTCCCTCACAGCTCTTATTTGTGCAACTTCAACCTCGATTCCCTTGGACTCAGATTTTCATCAGAATAATGGCTAGAGCAGCAATGGAAACAGGGATAGAACTCTCACAGCAATGGATATCAAAGAGGCAAGGGCCCTGGAACAGGAGAAACACAGAGCTTATCACAAATGGCTTAATCTCTGGAATTCTGTACAAATGCTGGAATGAGACAGCTCCATGAAGCAATCACCAGAAAAGAACACATGATGGGGAACTCAGAAGGTTGTGTACCTGGAATCTTACAATACAACAATACATGGACCATTCAGAAACACCCTCGTTGCTTTCATCATATAAAATATATTCTATGTTCGAACAGGGAGAGCAAATTTGAACATTTAACAAGGGAACCACACAGACTATGCTCAGGATACATCTGTGGGCCACCCCTTCCTTCAACACCTCCATGCAAAAGCCATGAATACATCTTAGATTTTCAGAACAGAATTTATGTTCCAGAGAACAGTCACCATCTTTAGTGTTTCACATACTTCCATGAGAACCTATTATTAATACTCTCATCAGAACCAAGCAAGTAAGAAGTACTGGGAAAGCCCTAGAGGTAATGGCACCCCAGAATCAACAAACACCCTTAGCTTCTTTTTTTTTTTTAGAGACAGAAAGGGAGAGGGAGAGGGAGAGAAACATCAATGAGAGAGAACATCGAATGGCCACCTCCTGCATGCCCCCCACTGGGGATCAGGCCCACAACCTGGGCATATGACCTGACCAGTAATCGAACCGGTGAACTCTTAGTGCATAGGTAGACGCTCAACCAGTGAGCCACACCGGCTGGGCTATTTCTACATTTATTAATTGAAAACCCAGCGCAAGGAAAAGGGCTTCCTTCACCATTTATGTATTTACTCAGTTAGTTATATTTGTATTGACTGAGGTCATAATCCGTTCTTATCATTGTTATTTTTTTCCTTTTATTTTTCATTTACAGTTGATGTTCATTATCATTATTGATTTTGTTGCTTAAATTATTCTAGATTTGGTCATTGGTAACCTCTTTAGGTTGGCTTCTGTGTACTTTCACGACCTCACTTTCTGGTACCACAAGATATTCCAGACACACCTGGTAATTTCCTTGCCCCAGATCTGGTAGCATCCATTTCTCCAGGGAGCCAGAGCTCCCTTTGGAAAGTGGGATTTAGAAGCTAAAGGTAGCCCTGCCAAGTGTGGCTGAGTGGTTGAGCATCGACCCATGCACCAAGAGGTCGCCAGTTTGATTTCCGGTCAGGACACGTGCCCAGGCTGTGGGCCTGATCCCCAGTGGGGGGATATGCAGGAGGCAGCCAATTGATGTTCTCTCTCACTGATGTTTCTATCTCTTTATATAAAATCAATAAAGGAAAAAAAAGATCTCCACCTTTCCAAGTGAACAAATTTGTTTTAAAAAAATAAATAAATGTAGAAAATAATGGAGCCAGAAGATCATCACTGGGCAAACATCATAGTAATAGTTGTTTCAGGGAAGAAACTGCAATGGTGGCTAAAACTAGTGGGACAAAGAACAATAAAAAACAGGATGTTTACACAGCCTCAAAGTAAAAAATGACTTGGTGGTGGAGAACCTGGGAGATGCATCCAGAGAGCGGTGATCGCATTCACAACACCAGGACTGAGGCAGATCGCACCCTGCACTCTGGATAGGATGCTCCAAGGACAGCACAGCACCCCTGTGCTGCTTCTGACAGAAATGCAAAAGGAAAACTGAATCATGAGGGAGCCTCAGTAAGCCGACACTGTGGGGTGTTCCACAAACTAACAGTCTAGGAGTCTTGCAAAGTGTCATGGTTATGAGAGAAGGGGAAAAGGGAAAGACAGAGGACCTGTCCCAGAACCTAGCAGTCATGACAACTAAATGCAATGTGAGCTCCTGATCCAAAAAGGACATCTGGGGGAATACTAGCTCAATCTGAGTAAGGCCATCAGGTCAGGAAAGGTATTGTACTCATATTGAATCTCCTCATCTGTAGGTCATACTGCAATTATGTGAACATTAAGAAAGCAGGGTGATGGGCATATGAAATTCTTTGTACTTTTTTTTTTTTTTTTAATCCTCACCCGAGGACATTTTTCCATTTTTTGTTCAGGTAGAGTGGGAGGGAGAGAGAGGAACAGAGAGAGAGAGAGAAACATCGATGTGAAAGGGACACATCGAGTGGCTGCCACCCGCACAACCGACCAGGGCCGGGGACAAACTGCAACCGAGGCACGCGCCCTTAGGGGGAACCGAACCCGGGTCTCTCAGGACCGTAGGCCGACGCTCTAACCGCTGAGCCAAACCGGCCAGGGCTCTTTGTACTTTTTTTTTTGCAACTTTTTCCAAGTCTGAAATTGTTTCAAAATGAAAAGTTAAAAAATAAAAAAACCTAGAAGAATTAAAGCTTGTTCATTCTTAAAAAAACAAAAACAAAAATGCAATAGCAGGTAAAATGTTAAAAGACAAAACTGTGTCTGAAATGCCTTTCTCTAGGGCCCAGGTCAGGTTCTGCTTCCCCCATAAAATTTTCCTCAGCTCCTGATCAGAATTGTGACTGAAACAATGCAACAGCCTCTCAATCTCATGATTTCATTTTGCAGCTAGAGTAATAAACCCAGAAAGGTAGACTGACCTACCAAGGGTAGGGACTAGAATCTGGGTTTTGTGATTCCTAATCCCACGTTCTAAAACTATGCCGCCTTTTGAATTCTTGCAGCATTTGTTAGTGTTTGCTTTTTGATTGTCCAACTTTTTATGTATCTGTTACATTTACCGAATTAGACTGTCAGCCCCTTAAAGGAGGACTTCTTTGCATTTCCAGCATGACAACAGTGTTCTATGTTTAGACGAGGCTTGCAGCAATCATCAATCCAATGAACAAGCACAGGATGCTGGCCTCATGACCAACAGTAAGGTAGGAATCAAGAACTGTCCAGCAGAAAGAAAGACAGACAGACATAAGAAGGGAAAATAAAAAAACTGACAATAGGATCTGTGAAAAAATGTCGTTGAAATCAAGTAAGAGGATGTCAAGGATGATGATGTGGGTCTAGGCATTCGCCTTGATGTGTACCCTTTCTGTCATGGGGGCCATGACCTATAACCCTGGACACAGGGAGGAGTTTGGGATGGGCGCAGCCAATCTGGAGCGAGGGTGGGTCTCTTGGCTCTGGGGAGTGTCACCCCAATGCAAGAGGACAACAGAGGACAGATGATAGCACAGGCTTGAGCCAGCCCCTCCCTGTCCCACTCAGTCATGAGAGCCACTCAATCCCCTTGTCTCTTTCTGCTGCTTTGAGCTAGGTCTCTGTCACCTGAAGCATAGCTAAGTCAGACATGTGTACATCAAAAAGGTAGTGACAACCTGGACAAACACTGCAGAGGCAACACTCACAGAGCAGAGGCTTTTACCCCCATACCCCATAGTTTAAGATATTCATGGTCATATATGCCCCAGCTAATCAGCCATATATCAATCCCAATTTAGAGTCCCACCAAGTTTTGGTCAGACACACAAAATGACGCACAGAAAGCCAGCGCTCATATTCTCTCCCCCCCCACACACACACATAAATATACATACACACACTAGCATACACACTCTCAAACTATTTGGGATACATAATACCAATAGTGGAAAGCATTAAGTGATCAGAACAGCCCATTTTAATTATTATTATTAATCAAGGGATTCAGGTGACCTCAAAAGAAACACCTACCTGGTAGAAAAATTAAAACAAGGCTAGCCCAATGAGAAGGGAATGAACTAATCTACCTGAACAGAACAATCCACTTTTAATTGACAATCACATCTCCTATTACTTTCTTCAGCCAGACACCCTGCAGATCCCAAGAGGGAAGAACCACATTAAAGCAGTAATTGTCTCAGCTTAGCATCAGCAATGGTTGCTATTCTAAGAATATTCCAGGAATCACAAGTCTTTTATGCCTAACAGAAAGCTTAAATTAGGCAATTTAGGGACATAATCTATACCAAAAAAGCCTCTGTACTTTAAAATTGTCAAAGGGGAGAAAATAACGCACCTGAATTTATTTGAATGGTTCTGCACCTACTAGAACAAGCCTGCGTGCACACTTCCTTCTCTCCTTGGACAACTGAATCAAATGACACCAACATGTGGGCCTCTTCCACCCGGGAAGAGACTGTCTATCAGCCCCCAGGAACGGAGAAGACCAGCCACAGGAATGTTCAGAAATTGGCACCAAGTTCTAGTTCTCTGTCTCCACTTAGAGTCTCCTTTTCTGGTCTATAAGCACTTCATGGTTTCAATTCCAAAGCTTCCTTCCTTTATGAAACTGTTTTGCAGGCCTGGCCAGACTTTTATATCATTCCAATGCCTTCAATATTAAAAGAATAAGACTCGCCCTGGCAGGGTAGCTCAGTTGGTTGGAGCGTTGTCCCAATACGCCAAGGTTTCAGGTTCAACCCCTGGTCAGGGCACACACAAGAATCAACCAATGAATGCATAAATAAGTGGAACAACAAATTGATTTCTCTCTCTCTCTCAAATCAATAAAAATAAAAGAAAAAAAAGAGTAAGGTTTGTTGACTGAACAACCTACTTTAGATACTATAGCGCAAAGATGTATCCTCAAAAACAGTATGTGCACAAAAATATTCACTGTACTGTTATTTATAACAAAATCTGAAAGGAACAGCAACAACCAATAACACAATGGTTAAGCAGAGCAAAGTTTGCCCGGAAGATTAACACTTAGATATCATGAGCCATTCAGTGTATGTAGTAACTGCTCAACTTTGCCACTTCAGTCAAAATTGGCAGAGACAATATACAAGTGAATAGGCATGGCTGTGTTCCAATAAAATTTTATTTACAAAAACAGGCAGAGAACACATAGATTTATCTACACCTGAGAGAATATTTATAGGCACGAAAAAATACTCAACAAAAAAGAACTGTGAAACATCATAATAAATGCATTTGACAATATTAAAAAAAAAGCATGTTTACTATAATTACAAAGATTTGAAACAAAATACGAAAGTAAAATGGCTGGCAGGGAACATGGCCATTTCTTTGAGCTGTGGGATCAGGGAGCATCTTTTCTCTATATTTAGGACTTTTCAGTCTGTCCCAAGTCAGCTGCAATGTCTCTCAGAGCAGCTGGCTGCTCTAACTGATGTGGCAAATACCCTTTTGCCCTTCCTCTCAGGGGACACCCCTCCTGACTGGCACACTAAGCTACATGGAGAAGGCCCATAGAGAAGGGTACCACTCTGCAGTCAAAAATAAGTTTGTGAGACAATGGGCAGAATCTGAGAAAGAAAAGAAACATAAAGACGCTTCCGAACAAACACTTCTCTAGTAGCAGCTTATAAAGTCACAATGAGGCAATAAAAGGCCCTGGTCAGAGGGTGGGGCCTCAGCCCTGGGGACCCACACCTTCCACAGTCACATTAGGGGCTCCCCATTAGAACTGCTAACCTAGTAGATCTAGTAGCCATGTAGTAAAAAAAGGCAAAAGAAAACTGAAAGAGAAATACAAGTGATAAGAAGCTAGGAGTCTGAGTGGCCTTCTCTGGCCCCATAACTACTCACCTCATACAGCCCCTCAAAGAAAGTGTTCTTGTCCTCGGTGCTCCATGACTCCCACTGCCGCCGGACCTTTTTGCCTTCTTCCTTCTCACCGCCAGAAGATCCTAAGTTCCGGGAGGAGGAGCGAGAGGCCCCTGCAGGGGCAGCAGGGGCAACCCCAGACCCATTTCCAGATGATGATCCGCCACCATCAGTTCCTTTGAGAGAAAGAGCAATACAGTGATCTGTTCCAGAAAGCTGGAGAGGCTTGGGAAGGGCCCCCTCCACATTCCTCAACCACTGAGGCTCTCGTGGGACAGCACCTAAGACCTTATTAGGTGCCTAGTGGGGCTGTTCACTAATGACATCATCCTTACATGACCTTGTGACTCTTTTAAATAGTTTTATAGTGAAAAAAAGAGAGAAGAGCATTTAAGTGGAGTCATTCAAAGAGCACATTGCTAATGTCCATAATGAAGGTATACAGCTCTTTCCCTTCTGTGAACTGAAACCAAGCATCACATTTCACAGTGTCTTTTTCAAATTAGGGTTTGGCTGAAATATTTCTTATCTTTTCAAATAAATTGAAATTTCAAACTAAAGAAAACATTTAAATGGGTGTAAAAAACAATGTATTTATAATCAATACTTTAGAATATAAATCATTTGACCCCTAAGAATATATAAAAAGTCTTAAAACTCCTCTTTTTCAGTTTTCGGAGGAGGTCTAGGTGCAAATTTCTTCAGCTGTCCAGAATCTGGGACCCTCCAACACCAGCCTCCTCAAGAGACCAGAGTTGTATACCTTTGGTGCACCAGTGGGGAAGTCTGTGCTACGTCTGCCCTGGCCCCTAAGATCAGCTCTCCGTCTCCAAAAACAGTTGTGATGACATCACCAAAGCAACAGGTGGTCTGAGGATTACAGTGGAACTGACCATTCAGAATAGACAGGCCCAGATTGAGTTAGTATCTTCTGCCTCTGCCCTGATCATCAAAGCCCTCAAAGAACCACCACAAAACAGCAAGAAATAAAAAAAAAAAAAACATTGAGCACAGTGGAAATACTGCTTTTGATCAGATTATCGCCATTGCCCAAGAGATGCACCACTGATCTTTAGCTAGAGAACCCTCTGGAGCCATTAAAGAGATTAGTGTTGAAGGTCACCACCCTCATGATATCACAGATCATATCAACAGTGGTGCTGTGGAATGCCCAGCTAGTTAAGAACTACAAAAGAAAATATTTTAATTAAAGATCATTTCACAACCAAAAAAAAAAGTCTTAATAACTCCTTTTTCTTAATCAATTTCCACCAGCAAAATCTGATGTTCAGAGAGTGACCCTACAACTTCCTAAATGCTTTTATTTTCTTTAAATCCTCACCCGAGGATATTTTTCTATTTATCTTCAGATATAGTGTGAGGGGGTGGGGTGAGAGAAAAGAGAAACATTGATGTGAGAAAGACACATCAACTGGTTGCCTCCTGCAGGACCCGGACCAGGGCTGGGGACTGAACCACAACTGAGGTACATATGAACCTGCGACTCTTTGGTCCTTGGGCTGATGCTCTAACCACTGAGCAACCAGCCAGGGCAACTTCGCAAATGCTTTTAAAGCATCAGTTCCTAATCTCGGATGAAACCTTAAAAACCATGCGAAGGGGAGAGTGTCTGCACGCACAACACAGGGCTTCCATGCTGTGCAGGAAACCAAGCACTCCATACTCCTAGGCAATGAATGAGAGTTAAAGGTCACAGATAAAGCATTTTTTATGACCTTACCAAATGCTCCCACCCATCTAGTTCCTTCCTCTCAGAGGGAAAGAGGACTCTCAGAGTATCCCTGTGATAACCAGCATTTTCTTTCCATAAAACTGCAGGACCATCAAATGAAGAGAAACCAAATTCTGAAGAGTAAAAATAAGATCATAAAAATAAAAGTGGTTTAAAAGAGCCAAACAAATGCAGATTATTGTTAAGATGTTTTTCTAATGAGATAATCAAGAGCTTTTCTATTGAGAGTCACTTCTTGGTTAATCTGGTGGGCTCTTCCTGGCAGCTACTTGCAGACTGGGGCCATGTCTTCCTCACTCCCTCGACCAAGGTCTACCTCCAATGAATAAATGAAAGACAAGCAGTTTCACAAAAAAAAAAAAAATTCATGAGAAATGAAAAAATAAAAATTAAAAGCCTTGCCCTGGCCGGTTTGGCTCAGCGGTTAGAGCGTTGGCCTGCGGTCCTGAGAGACCCGGGTTTGGTTCCCGCTAAGGGCACGTACCTCGGTTGCAGTTTGTCCCCGGCCCTGGTTGGGTCGTGTGGGTGGCAACCACTCGATGTGTCCCTTTCATGTCGATGTTTCTCTCTCTCTCTCTCTCCCCCTCCCACTCTATCTCAACAAAATATCGAAAAATGTCCTCGGGTGAGTTTAAAAAAAATTAAAATAAGAAAAAATTAAAAGCCTATTGACCCATGTAAGCTTTCAAAGACTATCCCTGGGAAAAACCCAAGCCATGGGTGCAGGGGCTGTCTGGGGAACTAGGGGAAGCAGAGTCACTCTCCACTATTATACTTTTCAAAGTGTGTACCATGAATCTGTTATGTCAAAACCAGGAGTACCTGAAAACAGTTAATCCCATCAGTCGGCTTTCAGAAAGAGTGTGCTTTCATACATGCTGAAAGAATTACTCATTTGATTCTTTCGTGTGGAAAAGTCTATCAGTTTAGTGATGGGCTGACTTCCTAAGGCAGTGATTTTCAACCTTTTTCATCCTGTGGCACATAAGCTAATTACTAAAATTCTGCAGCACACCAAAAAATATATTTTTTGCTAAGCTGAAAAAAAAAGGTGTAATTTTGATTCATTCACACAGGATGGCAATTGTCATGTTGGCTATTGTCATTTTTTTATTGACAATCTAAGAGAAAAGAGGTCAGCAACTGTGACTAAATAATCAGGCATTGCATTGTTCTAAAAATTCTTGTGGCACACCGGTAGCATGACTAGGTACCAGAAACTGCTGGTTTATCAGAGCTATACTGTCCAATTCGACAGCCACCAATCACATGAGGCTATTTAAAGATAGATTGATTAAAATTAAATACAACAAAAACTCAGTTTCTCAGTCACACTATCCACGTCTCTCTAGTGTTAATATCTACATGTGGCTAGTGGCTACTGTGCTGGACAGCACAGAACATTTCTATCATCACAAAAAGTGCCACAGCCAGGGTGATGGGTTTGATTCCCGGTTAAGGATATGTAGCTGGGTTGCATGTTTGATCCCCAGTCAGGGCCCTAAGGGAGGCGGCCAATCAATTTGTCTCTCTCACATTGATGATTCTCTCCCTCTCTTATCCCTTTCCATTCCACTCTCTAAAAAAAAAATGAACGGAAAAAAATTTCCTCAGGTGAGGATTAACAACAATAAGTAACAGACATGCATTTTAAAAAATTCTATAATGCGGCTATCTTGCTAGCTTTTGTGAGATTTCGCCAGATCACAGCACTGCTGACCCAAGACAAGGAGAACGAACGGTGAAGGAAAACAGAATGGAAGCATTTCCGAGCTGGAAGGGCCCTCAGGGGTAGAGTACAGGATAAACCAAAACTGGCTGTGAAAGAAGGTACAACAGTCAAAGCAGCTCTGCCCAGATACACGAGGCAGCAAACCAGGCCTCAGAGCAGCCAGCCACCCTCACTGGCCAGAAGCCACGAGCAGAGATTTCAGCCCATCTTTCTGATGCTTCCCACTGATATATCCTCAGTAGAGCAATGTGAATGTTCATCCCAAGTAACCCTTTTTAACATTTGGTACCCATCATCCTAGACCTTGTAACGCCTTGTAAAAGTAAAAGTAAAGCAGAATCACAAAACTTCCAGGTTGAAAGAGAACTGTGACATCTGGTCCATTCTCAATATTTTAAGTGAGAAAGAGACTTCATCCATTGAACTCAGGCTCAATCCAAGACTCTAGTTCAAGTATAAAAAAACAGGAAGCAGGATCAGAGATGCTGGTAAAACAGGACAGTGCTCACCAGGACAGCCTGCCATCAGGGACGAAAAATTCCGATGAAAGTGTGATGACTGAAGGGGAAGAGAGGGGAGCAGCAAGGGGAACACAGCTAGAGAGGCAAGAAGCGGGAAGAGAAGACAATCTGAACAGGACAGGGTGGGTGCGAGGGCTTTCTCCGGGGATGGGAGTGAGTTCGAGGAGCCCGCCTAAAAGCAGAGGGCCAAAGTTAACCTTCCATCTGCAGCTACATGTCTGAGGCCACAAAGAGGGTTAGAAAGAGTCTACATGATGAGGAGTCATTATCCAAGAAGCCTGAAGGGAAGTGATGTACAAGACTAGGATCCCCCACAGTGAGCCCTTTGAAAGTAAGAACAGTGTCTTACTTTTCCGTGCCCAAGGTTGGCACAAGGCCTCACACGGAGCAGATGCTCAATGAGCTCAGGAACCAGCAGAGCACAGAGCAAGGGCCTCTGCTGTGCCCCTCAACTACCCTAGTCCTCTGGGACCCAGTGCCTCTAAAACAGAACCCACACTCTCCTCTCAAACTACTTCAGTGACACAACCTTCCAGCTGCCAGGGTGCCACCTGGCTACTTCTCTTTCCCATTTCTGCCGCCATTTTCCCAGGCCAGCTCTGTGCTACCACCAAATAACACAATCTTAACTGCCTCCTCTCTGGTCTCCCAAACCACCAACCCCAGTTGCAGCCCACTCTCCAAGCTTGCATTTGAGGGACACAGCCATGTGGCCTTGGTCTGCCTTCCCTGGCTGCCTGTCTGTCCACTTCACCCCTAGACAAGCTAGACTGTGTGCTTCCCTCGTCAAACATCTCTGCACTGGCCTGGAATGCCATCACCCATGCCCCCTCTTACTGCCTGAAGACGAGACAATTATAGCCATCTTTCACTGAAGAAGCCGAGGCACAGGTGAAGCTGCTTATTCCCCAGCAACCTGGAGGTGCGGGAACCTGTATTTCTACAGCACCGGTAAAGCACATTCCAACACGGCTCCTTTTTATCCTTATTGTGAGTGTGTAGTTATCCACATTTCGAAAATGGGGTAACTGAGGCTCTAAAGCACAAAAGCTCTAAGGTCACCAGGCAACAGGAAGGAAGCACCTCTCCCCAAACCTGGGGATTTTCCTCTGGGGCCACACAACAGCATGGTGACTGCTGATGGTGTCACAGCTGCTTCAGTATTTGTAG